GTGAGTTAGCAATTGTAAAGTTTGGTGTTGCCAATGGTAATGCCTCCAAGGCACTGCTGAACTATGCTTTGCCAGACTAAATCGGAGTTGTAACATAGTTGTCAACATCTAAAAAATATATCTAGGGACACTTTGATATTTATGACTGACACTTCTATGGCTAATTTTTGGCTAATATTTGGCGCAACTTATTCATTCTGTCTGTTTTCTTCCATTTATTGCTTATTTCTGGTCTTTCAAATGAGCATAAGTTGTGGGCTCCATGACAGGTAACCTTTAACAAAAAAAATGCAATGTGATTTTTCGCTTTGCAACACTACAGGAAGGGTGAATAAAAAATTGGGAACCACTTGAATACCTATAATAATCTTAATGTTAAATCTCCTTTTTATCTCATCACATAATCTCATCCTGTCATTATCTCATCACATAAATACCTGTAAAATGTTTAATGGTAAATTAATCTGATCATTATCTAACATTAACCATCTTACAGGTAATTGTGAGGTCATGTCTGTTGCCTCACCCATTATATACAATTTAGGAATTAATAGATAAAAAAAAAAAAAACGATTGCTATCCCGTAAAATCAAATTTATCAGTATGAGAAACAGTAAAAATTTTTAATGAATGTTTCCATATACCTTAGGTCCATGACAGAACGGTAATCTATTGAGAAAAAAAAAAAGACAAAAAAACAACTTTAATCCTTCATATTTCTAATGGTTTTATAGGGCACGGATATAATGACTTTAAAATCTGCTAATGATGTCTGTCAAAGTAAATATAAGACATCCATTGCACTCTACCATAAACAAATCAAATCAACCGGCATAGAACCCTTTATGATTGCTTTTTAAACACATAGATCCTTTAAAACAATTATGTAAACAAGTTTTATGTAGGATGAATAAATTAGCTGTAGATTAAAAACTCTTACTTAGTGTTGATGTGACACATAATAAGCATGTTAGGCCCTAAGTACCAGTGTTAATTTTGTCAACTAACAATTTTAGTCAACTAAAATATTTTAGACTTAGTCAACTAAAACTAGACTAAAACTAAAACAATTCAGATGACTAAAATACAACTAAAACTAAAATGGCTTTTTAGTCAAAAGACAATGTAAAACTAAATTGAAATCTACTGCCAAAATTAAAATTTTACTCCGCTGGTAAAAGAAGGTAATCCAAGGAAAGCGCTGAAAATGAAGGCAATATCCCAAAGCCCCCCCCCCCCTCAGTAACCAGACGAAACACAGTTCTGGGAGTCAACTGAGGTTTTTATTCACAACCTCCAGTATTTATGTGGTTCCCCATGCAAGGGGTTTCCTTAATCACTTTACAGGGGTTATACAGTAGAGGACTACATGGGGAACTGAACATGCAGGACATTTCTCCCACCATGCACTGCTATACGAGAGGGATACTCCCACAAGAATATCTTGTTAAGTGAATTATCCCTCCGTACAGCAGAACCGGCTTTTCACATAAATATCTGTAACTTATATTTTATTCGTGCCATTGTACCGAAGGACCGTTCGGCAGATAGCTGGGGTCTGAGCGCACACTTTGTGGAAGTACCGCTCAGATCCCAGCACAATCAACCGAGCCCCGCACGAAATACATTTTACCATCAACTCTCCAGAAACATCACGAATACATAGGTTGGAAGAAAGTACCGAAAGACCGGCGCTCCCAAATGGCCTGGAAGTCCGGCGCTGTTCGCGCCGTCGAGTAGCCGATTTTAGTTCCAGGCACTCAACGACCAAACACCGCTGGGCTAAAAGGGAATCCAAGATGGCCGACGCCGCCACGTGGTCGGTATCCGAACGACGGCCACCCTGGGAATCAATTAGCAGCCGATTGATACAATGTTGCACTCGGTTAATGGGAGCCACACGAACCCCTGTGTGTGGGCTCCCATTCAGTACTTTGTTCGTTTCACGAACAGTGTTGAAAGTGACTATTCGTGAAACTACCATATGAATGCTAGCAGCTTTCGGGCCCCCAGCATACGAATATCCTCTATTACAGTTATAAGCACATACTCACAGAATTTGACCAGCTTTTCTAGGACAACCTTTAGACATATAACAACATAATTTGAAGTGGCTAGGTTTGCCACAGAGGGGCTGTGGAAGGGGTCAAAGTAACAGACCAGGGCTTGAGAGAGAGACACCCGAGGGGTTGAGAGGACACAGAGGGACACAGGGTGGCTGGGTAAAGGGCAAAGGAGACAGATAAAGGCTATAACTAAACCCATTATATTTTAGTCATGTCGACTAAAATCTACTGGAAATTTAGTCGAGTAAAATCAACTGGAGATTTAGTCAACCAAAACTAGACTAAAACTAAAACAATTCAGATGACTAAAATACAACTAAAACTAAAATGGCTTTTTAGTCAAAAGACTGACTAAAACTAAATTGAAATTTCGCGCCAAAATTAACACTGCTAAGTACTCTTGTTACTGCTCTCTGTTGCTCCCCCTGAAGCCTCCGCAGCGGTCAAATCCTACAGCCCATATCATCCTGGGTAGCCTAAAGCCAGTTGCATCCCACCTAATGAGCAGCACCCCCCATGAGTAGCACCTGGGGTGGCCTAACCCTCCTTACCCCCTCTCCCCCTCCATCCCCCCCATTAGTACAGTACTGATATTTATATCATACTTTGTAAAACCTGCCTTGCAAGTGAAGCAAGATTCCAGGTATTTGGAGCCTTTGATTACAATACCTGATTTTCTGGACAGCTACAGAACAATACAGTGTAATTCTCCTCCCAGTTACATTTACAGTTTGCCAATACATGGGTCTAACTCTATTTACTAAACATTGAGCTGTTGAGAGCAAACAATTGACTCAGAAGAGTTGTGAAAGATCATGTTACAGCGCTTAAATCCGCAGTGCACTAGGGCGCTTGAGTTTTGGAGTTTGGAAGGGCTCTGGGCACAACTTGTATTGTGTAGACTGCGATGCCATTTAAAGGGAACTTGTCACAACAGGCTAATAGAATCCCCTTATGAAATTACATACTACTTATCAATTTGTGCTAACGCCTGAAAAAAGAAAGAGGGGATGGGGGAGGAAAAATAATATTAAAACCAAAAACTTTATTGCGATAGGCCAATTAAATCAAATACTGCAAAGTATTTACAATAGTATTGTGAGTAGGACAACACTAAGACTGTAATCACATTGTGTGGGATAAACAAAAAAAAGTGTAGGAGGGTAAAAATATGGAATAATATAGAGAACATTATTAAAAGGTAATCTAGAAGCCACATTCCTAAGGCACCCCTCTATGTGAAAAGGACAGAAAAAGGGAACATGGCAGTTAAGAGAGATATATTCTATATAATGTACAGGGTAGCGAGACTAGGTGATGCCAAATCACCATCAACACTTTTGGCGCAGCTGAATTGGCACAGGCTCAGTTAGTTTGACAGCACATAAAAGGTTAATGGCGATTTGGCGCAGCCAAACCATTTTTACCACTAGAATATCATATGAGAAAGCTTCACCTTCCTCAATGTGCGTCCAAAGTATTTCTAAAAGAGTTATTGTCAAAAATGAGAATTCAAAGTGAATTTCAAATTTAAGGCCAAAATACAAACTGGAAACATAGCTGACATGGAGAGTTTTTCCTTTTATACTATTTGGGCTTTAACTTGAAATTTCACTTTGAATTCTCACTTTAGTTAATAACCTTTTTAGAAATACTTTGGAAGCCGAATAAGGATGGTGAAACTTTCTCATAGGATGTTCTTAGCTGAGGTGGGTGGGTTTTAGGTGCCTGGGAATCTTTAATTTTTGCAAGTGAATGCACTCACTACAATAAACTGTGTTTAGAATTCTAGTTTTGTGTTTTTGCCGTCAAACTTTTCAGTTCACTCATGTACAACATAATTTTAAACTACAAAAGAGGGACACAAATGGTTTTTGAATAACCCTGCAAAAAGGACACACTTGAGAGGCCATTTCAAAGAACTAATAGTGAGGCACTGTCTAAACCTGGGGACTTTGCAGAATTTGCAAAGACCTCTGACAGTGACACCACCATTGGGGGTCCAGTGGCAAGGGACAGGGAAAGGTGAGTTCTACTTACTTAAATCTGGCCCTTTGCAGGCGCCGCCATCTTCTATTGACGAGTCCTCTTCAGCTCCTTGCACTTCAATGCTTGGAGACGAGGTCACTGCTTTACACTCGCATATGCACGGGAATACAGCATTGAGGTCTATGGAGGATCCTGCAGGACCGTGGGGTGCTCCATAGAGAAAGCCAATTCCCTGCAGCCATCACTAGTTACAGCTTGTGGGATTTACACTTCTATATAGCGGTATCTCTGCCCAGTGTCTAGTATCAGGCGTAGGAAATACACAGAGATAAAGTAGTAAAGCGCTACGGAATTTGTTGGTGCTAATTTATAAATATTTGATAAATAAATATAAATGATAATAATAAAGTAGTCCCTACTTTGTCTCAGTATATCTCTTGCCTGGGCTGGAATTTAAATATTTCAACACAGTCAGTATGAGTATTTCATAAATATTCTATCTTTATGAAACACTAATTTTTCGGGGGGAGGGTTGCAGTACCACTTTAAATCCCAATAAGAACTAGCCTGCAGAAATTAGGAAAAATGTGAACATTTTTATTTAAATAAAACAAAAGCATGATTAAAAATTGGGCTCAGTCATCTACTTTTTGTCATGTCCACTGAGCATAATTTAAAGAGACAGGAGATAAATGCAAGCCATATTTATTATATTTTCAAATAAAATCATTTAGGAACTACAGAGGAACAGAAAAATGAATTGAATAACAATTCTCCAACAAAAGGCAGATGTGGTTAAATATAACAGACTTTATTTATTGAATAGTCCATGTACAGAAGTTTAAACAAAATCTCACATTCTAGTGATTGGGAGACGTTAATTTCCTAAATGTGTTGGTCTACATATCTCACATCACAATTTAGTGAATACACCCATTTTTTTTTTTTGTATCTAACTCTTATGGTATTTTGCCTGATCAAAGGTCAGTCTATGATCAAACAACTAGTTCATTAGTTCTTTTTTAATTATTTGAGATTAAAAATATAAACATTCTTAGTAGTGATCCTTGTTATTATCCTGTTATGAATTATTACTAAAAACAAACCAAAACACACAAATAAAACAAAAAGACACTTTATTTTTTGTGAGAAAGAGTTTCTGCAGCGTCTAAAGGTGAAATTCTACAAGTCTAAAGGTGACGCATAGAACGTCCCATTTGTTTCCATGACAACTGCTTTACTTTTGTTATTTACCCGCAAAATAAGCGAATGTTCCACGTTCCAATCTGTTTCTATGCTGGATACAGAGCGACCCATAATAAAACTTAATAAAAGGGACAGCCCTATCTATAGTCACTGGACGGCAGAGTTAGAGTTAAGGTGACAGCTCAGACAGTTTCCAGGAAGTATAGCAGCAGATTGTCTGTGGACTTCATGGCACTATAACAGGAAGTATCAAACACACTGCAGCCCGGTGACAGAAGAGTTAATCCGCTGTTCCCAGAGCTGAAGGAGTTAAAGAAACATTTCCCAGGCTTAGCAGCGTGGCAAGCGGAGCTCCCACGCTGTAATCATCCCAGACTGTGCGAGGCAGGGACAGGATAACACTGAGCCCGGCTGTACGGAGCGTTAAAGGGACAGCGCAGAGGGAATATACAGACTGAACGGGGTCCCACGCTGTACTCATCACAGAATGCTAAGAATTCCAAGATCGAACTCTGCAATACAGTGACTCAACCACTGCTAATGTTACCCTGTGTAATACAGAGATCGAACCACTGCTGATACAATACAGAGACAAACTACTGCTAATGTTACCCTGTGTAATACAGAGATCGAATCACTGCTGATACAATACAGAGACAAACTACTGCTAATGTTACCCTGTGTAATACCGAGATCGAATCACTGCTGATACAATACAGAGACAAACTACTGCTAATGTTACCCTGTGTAATACAGAGATCGGACCACTGCTGATACAATACAGAGACAAACTACTGCTAATCCAAACCTGTGCAATACAGAGACCAAACTCCAGCTGCTTCTAACCTGTGTAATACAGAGATCAAACCACTGCTAATCCCACTGAACAGACTGCAAGTTCATTGTGGTCCCACTCTGTGCAGCACAAATCCCTCTCCTATTGGGGTCCCACTCAGTGTATACCAGATCCCTACCCTGTGGGGGTCCCTCTCCGTATATTTTCCATATCCCTACCCTGTGGGGGTCCCTCTCTGTATAGATTCCAGATCCCTAACCTGTGGGGGTCCCTTTCTGTATAGATTCCATATCCCTACCCTGTGGGGGTACCTCTCTGTATAGATTCCATATCCCTACCCTGTGGGGGTCCCTCTCTGTGCAGTGAGGCACATGTCCCCCCGGATAGCAGGATTTGGCAGTGCACCCCAAGCAGATGTAACCCAGCTCAGTCTGGTAGCACACACTGGCATTTCCTCTGAGCTCACAGAAAATATGACGCAGCCCCAGCCTCCCTCGGAAGAGGAAGTTTAACTCTGAATAACGGTCAGGCTGCACAAGCCGGGAAAAAAAAGGGACCACGACCCAGCAATTTGGGAGACTGGAGCATCCAGTGACCAGCAGGAAGCACCCCATACTCCATCTCCCCCTGACTGTCCTGCACACCTAGAGGAGCATGGGCTGACATCTCATCTGTCTGGGGCAGGATGACAGTGTACTCATTGAACCTGAAAGTCTTCTGGCTCCTGGTTGCCTTCCTCTTTACATGCAGCTGGTGGTTGTTTCTGGCCCTGAGGAGAGACAGCAATGTCGAGGAAGGAGGGGGCTGCCAGGAGAATGGGTTCACTCACTTGCAACTTCTGCTCAAACTTTGTTTTGTGTTCCTGCTTTTTTACATTGTCCTCAGGTGTTGCAACTCCACCTCAGTATGCAGGCATGGAAACCAGGATCTCACCATCCAACAGGAGGTGCAGCAGCAGCAACTGAGAAGAAACTTGTTGGAGTCCTTCTATGAGCATCATATCAAACTCTCCCCCCATGTCTTGGGTCACAGCAAAGCACATGTTAGCCAGATTGTGGGAGAACTGATCAAAGTTGGCAAAGCTAAGCAGCAGGACACCGGCGTGACATTCAGGGGAGACTTTGTTCAGATTGGCAGCGCTTACGAGCAGCACAAAATCAACAGCCCTGACTACTTCGATATCCTCATGCCTCTAAAGATACCACAAAGTCTGAAGCTGGAGCCACTGTTTGCTGTCCCTGGCAAGGAGTCCACCGCGCCTGTCCTGCAAGGCAGTACTATGTGCCGAGTGGCAGCGCCCAAAAAATCCGAGTGGGTCAAGACGTACAAGCAGTTTAGCGACTATTTCTGTTCTGAGACATTGCACGGCCACCAACTTTCCTCTGCCCTGGTCCTCAAGTGGTTCCACTGGAAAATTCAGAGGTGTCTCAACGTCATTAGGTACCAGTTTGAAGAGAGGTGTCATATCACACTGAGCGTGTGCGATGACAAATTAATTCTTAAAATATTGCCAAGATCGGATTATGTTTGTTGCCACATTTCCATGTCCGTACGCCTTATCCCTGCCTTTCACCTGGGTGACTCTGTGTTCCTTACAGCCCAAGTTTGGAGTGGTCCTTCTCATTTGGAATCTCTAAACCATGATGCGCACTGGGGCATCAATTTTTCCAAACACGAGCAAAAGTTTTTGAATTGGTTTAAGGACCAGGCTCCCGCGAACTCATGCCACCTAAAGTGCCTTCAGGTCATGAAAGCCTTGAGAGATCTGAACACTGTTACATTTCAGCCTTTTTTATCCTCACAGTGGAAATCTATTCTTTCATCCTACAATCTGAAAACTGTACTTTTTTACTTATTAGTAAAGATCCCCTTGGAAAAATGGGATGATACCTTACTCATGGACAGAATGATGGACTTTTTTCTATTCTTAAAGGAGTGTTTGCAGAGTCAGGTCCTCATGCATTTCTTTCTGGGGAATAAAAACCCTCCGAATGTTATTACTTTGCCAAAAATGTTCAAAGATGCACAGCCAGTCAACTTGCTGGAGGGATACGAGTCAGAAATATTGGATCAAGTGTGTTTTCAACTTTTCAACATGTGGATCCAAATGCCACGAATTCTAAGGATACGTTCCAGTCCAAAAAGCATTTTCAGGGACCAATCCAGATGTAACCATTCAAATATTTAATTGTTATTCCAAAAATTGAACAAGGGCAGTTTGAAGGACACCGCTTTAGAAATAGAAAACCAGCATGATGGAAACTTTCTGTCATTTGTCCTTAAGGGGTTAATTCGTAACTAATGCATCAGAAGCTTTTTGGGAATAAAAGTCTTTCTAAATGCAATTTGTATGGGTATTGATGAATTAAAAAACAAGCTTCTAGGTAGCCAACAAGTAATTTTTTGAACGTCACTAAACTTGATCTCCTATGATTTAAAGTTAGGCTTATTCACTACAATGAGAATTGTCAGGAAATCAAAGTGAATTTCAAATTTAAGACTAAGTAAGAGAACTGGAAGCATAGCTGACTTGGAGAATTTTGGTCTTAAATTTGAAATTTGCTTTAAATTCCACACAATTCTCACTTTAGTGACTAACTCTGCAGCTATTCCTTGGTCATCCAAATGATAGCTGAGGTTCATAAGACTAGAATTCTACTTGTTGGCTACATTTGCTTAGGAATAAGACGATCGTACTCATTCTAAGACTCTAAATCAGGCTTCCCCAAACTCCGGCCCTCCAGATGTTGCTGAACTACAACTCCCATTATTCTATGAATGAAATAGGCTGAGAATAATGGGAGTTGTAGTTCAGCAACATCTGGAGGGCCGGAGTTTGATCTAAATGGATTTGTAGAGCATTATACATGTTATGGGAATACCTACAGGGTTATTCACTAAATGAGGATTCGAAGTGAAGTCAAAGCGAGTTTCAAATTGAAGGTCAAAGTAGCCGATCCTGAAAGATTCTCTAAGTCAGATATGCTTCCAGTTTAGCTACTCTGGCCTAAAATTTGAAATTCACTTTTAATTCTCACTCTGGTAAATAACCCTGCTAATGTGTTTTGTGTGCATTCGGTTACATCTTGCAGCAATGTTTTGTTGAAATCGCTTCCCGTTTTGTAATCGCATCGAACACCTAACAATGAAATGATGTTTTTCTTGCAATTCTAGACAATTAGGCCTTCTAACGGCTCTTCAGTACCGATAAATTGAATCTTTCTTTAAAGGGAGAAAACATATTTACATACATATTAATGTTTTTATCATCACATTCCATTTAGATATTGTTATATACACTAACAAGCACAGTGTGTTTCACTGAAGCGTGCATTGTGGGTAATATAAAGTAAATTTCAAATTTGAGCTTTTAATTTAAAAAATGGCTGAATCGAAAACTAAGATGACGAGAATTTGTCCAGTGTGTTTTTTTTTTTTGGCCTAACATTTTTAAATTCAGTTTGAATTGCCTATAGCCCACACTTCAGAGGGTTATACACTGAATTCCACACACATGAAAAGTAATTAAATTAAAATGGCAACTTGTTTTTATTTGTATTGCAGATTTTAATGTCGCACATTTTTAACAAGTTTATGGCATACAAAATAATTAAATTAAAACAGCAATATATATTTTTTTAGTATTGCACGCTTTTGGGACGTTTTAGCACTCTTTTTCTAATAAACTAAAATTTTATAATTAATTTCATTATTAACAAGGTATGAGATTGCAAACAATACAAGATTAAGGCAAATGCACACCTGGAGGTATATTCACCAAAAACTATAGGGAATTGCAAAATTTAGACTGAACCAGCTAAACTAGAAAAACAACAATTTTTTTTTTTCAAAATTTTAAAGATTTTTTCCTCCCCTAAAATTTGCAGCTCCCTTGTCACATTTCCTTATTGCCTGCCCTACTTAATAAAACTCTGTTTTTTTTTTAAATGTGGACCTGTTAAAATGAAAATAGACCATTAGACCAAATTCTGCATTAATGTATTTTAACAGTTCAATTACTGTCCATTATCTGCTGTACATTCCAGATTGCTCTGGCTTAGAGTTAGGTATGAGCGTAGGACACAGATGGCAATTAAGCTGAATAAATTAACCTAATTTCTATAAGATTTTTTTTTTGTCCTATATCAGATTGAATGACCAACTAGGAAGTAATGGCATGTTGCTTTGCTAATGTCTTTTCCATTTCTGACAGTGCTCTAAGTAAAAACATGACAGCTTCCCTCTTAAATTATATAAAAAGTTATGTTTAAAATATTTTATCTGCGCACCATTATTTTGGTACAAAAATATTGGGGATTTTCAGGTTTTTGAAAGATATTTAAAAATATATTAAATTTTTTTATTATTATTATTTTAGCACCCTGCACAATTTTTGTTTAAATTTAATTGTTTTTTAAAATGACAAAATGAAGAATCTTTTGTTAAATAAAAAATTAGTTATTTTTACTTGATATACTGAAAAAAAGAACATAGCACTTTAACATTACTCTGTGTCAGAGTGACTTATTTTTTTGTCCTCTCTTTTGGAACACAAACCTCTGTTTCCCCTTCTACCAGAATAAATTAATTTTACTTTTATGATGTCCAAAAATGCTAAATAGGTAACCTAAAATATTCCTCATGTTCTATCTTAGGAGTTTGATAATTGGTTTATATCCTTTTAAATCGGTAACGGCTAACCTAGACACTTCAAAAATTTGTGAACTGCATTTCCCATAATTCTCAGCTAGCTTTTAGACTCTGCGTGAAGCTCAGACAGCCTTCTGAATGGCTAACAATCATACAGACATACCTCTCTAACATATGTACTGTCAAAGGCAGCCATCACTGTATTTTAAATGTATGGTAGTGTTCTTAAGCAGTCTGGTTTAGTAATTAGAGGCGATTTAAGTTAATTGGAGATTAAGAAACAATATTGGAAGCTAATAGGGCTTTGACTAGCGGGGCAATCAATTTACTAAGGGACATGTGTCCCTTTAAGTATTAAAAGCTTAAAGGAACACTCCAAGTACCGTAACAATTACAGCCGTTTTCTGGAGATTATGGTGCCAGGAAAACAGTTTAACTTACATACTTACTAACATACTTACCTGGGATCCACTGGGCCCTGTCCGCCTCCTGCTCTGGAACCAGAAGTGCATGCATGTAACTTCCATTTGCTCCCGTGAGCTAAGCTCAAGATGATCAGCTCAGTGTAGAAGGCGGTCACTAGTGTCCGCAGAACCCAGTTATGTTGTCAAACCTTTCTTAAACCAACTGAGTATTTAACATGGAAAGGTTCCTGGGCACAGAACGTTGCAGTGGTTATGGTGCTTACAGTGTTGCTTTCTGTTGGGCAGCCATTGGGTCCCTCCAATATATGAAGAGTAAAAAAGAAGCAATGTTGTCATCTGATCACAAATTCAGTTAACTTGCACCATTTTCATGCTTGAAGTTAACCAGCGCTGGATGTATGTCTAGGTATGAATTTGTGGAATAGTTGTGAAGTCTGTGGTTAGCAAATACTCTGAAGGACTAGGTAAGTTTTAATGGTATTAGTGCGGTCATTAGCAGTAATGGATTAATACTCTAACTTGCTTGAGTCATTCAGAGCATCTGCTAACCACAAGATTGTGAGATAAGATGTTCACAGACTAGAGCTGGTGTGGCCCAGGACCACGGCTGGTTACGTCTGAGCAACAAAGGTGTATTCGTTGAAATTGAGGCCAAGTGAGGATAGCGCCAATTTTCCTTTTCAGACATTAGAAGTACCATGGAATTACTGTTTGCCAAACTAATGTAAGCCATGCTGTAATGACAAGATTTGCTTCACCTCAACGAAATTGCTTGAAGACCCCAGCGCCAGAGTATATTGTATAAACAAAGCACCATTTTTCTTTATTTACATCTTTTAAGTGGCATTAATATGATTTATTTTACTTATTTATATACTCATATTATTTCATGTGTGCCCACTTTTTTGTTTGTACTTGCTACAGTTTAACAGCCAAATTCACTTCCGTGGTACTACTTGCTGTATTATGATTAGCAGAAAGTCCTGCTTTCCTTATCAGGTATAGACAGTTCTCAACAGATTAAAACTCCAGATTACTATGCAATATTCCTTATTAAAGCTTGCATTCCATCACTAGAATATCTATATGGTAGTGTGTGTCTACTGAGAAATTGTTTTACCCACGAGTTACCTCACCTGATGTAGCAAAAGCAAAGAAGTGACTTGAGCTGCTTAATCGGAGCAGCAAGACATATAACTAAATCAATCAATTTGCATCTTGTGTTTTTAATCTCTGGAAAATTGGTACCGGACAAATCAAATTGTATATATGTGTATGGGATGCTACCATAGGTTATATAAAAATATATTTGTACATTTTTCTAGATTCCCTTAAATCCTCAAAATATTTTTGGATTTTTTTGTTATCCTTGTATATGGTTGTAAATAGTTTCATATAAAGGTATATAATACTTTAATACGTAAGGCATTTCTAACTTATTTTCTACTAATTGTAAAGATCATATATATTAATTGCTTTGATTGCCTGATTTATATCATAAAAATTCAACATATGCCAGGACCAAAAAGTCAATTACTTGCTCTGCTAAAGCTCATCTAAAGTTAAATTAATTGAATTATATATACATGCAGTTTTAGACTTTTCTAATTTCTATATACAGGAGACTTTTACTAAATATATATGTTTCTGTGTGTATGTATAAGTGTGTATTTCTACATGATATACACCGTAGAATTCTAATACCTCATTTTGTGGATGTTTTAACAGTTCACTGATTCTTCATCAATAATACAATTTAAGTAAAGTTATCTATTTTCTGTTTTATTTCCTACTATACATGTACTTCACTTACAAATATTAAGTTATTAATGCCTTAACAATATAATTGCATTGTATGTTAAATAGTACACTATGTTTGGAACAGTTATGAAGTTGTCTATTTCGTATGTTACTCCGCAATTTAATGAAAGCCTAAATGAAAGGTGCTATTTGGTCATCCAAATTATTAAAATCTGATTTGTGTTTTATTAAGTCAAGGAATAAATGGTCAAGTGTTTCAGTCTCACGTTGACAAAGGTCTCATGGCGAGACTGAAATGTTGTCCATTTATTAGTTTGACCCAATAAAACTGCTAAAAAGAAACCATTGTGTGCCCATCAGTTATTGAATGTTGTAACTATTTGTTTAGTCATTTTAAAAAATCCAGATACTGTTGAAATTGAAATCTTGATCAGCGACCAGATAATCAATGTACGAGGATATAATAAGTGTGGCCCTCATTGAGCTGAAATTTCCAGAATGATAACAGTAAAAAATCGGCGTGTTCCATCACTTTTATAGGTCTATTTTTAAAAAAAAATCTATATGCTCTATTTAATATTATAAATAGATTTTTTTATATTTAGGTAGAAATTATTATATTTTTTTATATTTCGCCTGGAGTGCCATGCGTTTCATTTATAAATAAATAAGTATATATTTATATCAGGGTGTTCACAGGAAATATTCTCTAATTTTGAGAACTGCAGTTTCATAGTCCCTTTGAGAGGAGCAAAACAGATCTATAGTTTTACAAAGTGTTTTTCAAACAGCTTTCCTAAAAGGACAGCACTTTTGATGGAAAAATATGTCCTTCCTAACCTATCCCACAATATGCTATATAATTTATATTGCTCTTTAAGCTCACGTAGCTATTGCATAAGACTGATTTAAATTGAAAAGGGTGCATGTGCAATATTACTGGACCTGCCTCAGCTGTAGTACAGATGGAAATCTATAGCATTTCTCTTTGCTAGATGTCCGTACTAAAACAGTGCAAAAGAAGACCTCATTCATCCTATTGACTATAATCTGCAGAACTAGTTAAAGTCTTCGCATTTTAAATGTCACGTATTTGAGCAGTAGCCCTAGCAACTCAGCCATACTAAAGCTTTCTCAGAATGCAATTTGAGAACCCATACAAGGCTAAAATCAAATTGTTTACTTGTAAACGTTAACCTAAATAAGACCAAAGATGAATTTGTTTTGTAATGATACTGTTGATTTGAATGAAATGTTTACATTGTATGATGTTGTTACACATGCCTAAATGTTAAGGTGGTGTTGTTTTTTTGTATATTTAAAGACACATGCAATTTTATTGTTCTAAATGCAAAAGTTATGGTACAAAACCTGTACACTTTCACAAATAAAAAGTAAAACTTGATTTGTGTAAGTTTGAAGCATTATTATAAACTCATTTATATAAAATTGTATTCTTCATTAATTCTGCATTACGACGACACAACGCAAACCCATATTTATATATTTAATCTCTCCACCCACCCCACCCCAGCCTCTTTTATACATGGTTTAAATTTGAAATTTAAAAAGATATATAGATTAAAAGTAATCCAAATCAAGTAGGACACAGAACGTCATCAAATGCAGCTCATGGGGAAGCATTCTTTGCAGTGCTTCTCTATGAAAAGCATCTGATTGGACACACGTGCAGAGCTTGCCGCACATGTGCGTCTTGTCCCCAAGGCTTCTCTATGATGAGCATTGAATTGGACAAGAAGCAGGAACGTGACGCTTCCAGGATAACGTGATAGGAGGAGGAGTGAGCTACAATACCATGTGAGTTTCAGTGCTGCAAAAAAGGCAAGTCAATAAATATAGCATGTTTGATTTGCTTACGCTGTTGTGTTCCTTTATAATTTATTTATGAAGCGCCAACAAATCCCGCAAAGCTGTACAATAGATGGACTAACAGAATAGTATTTGCAACAAAATGAGTTGGACGCACGGGAAAAGAGGGTTTAACTGTGTAGGAATCCAAGCAGCCCGCAAGTTACATGGCTACATTGTTGAAGCCCTCTACTTTTTTTTTATGCCAAGAACCTATACTTACTGTATGTACACTTGTTTTTTTCTTTACATTCTGGTGGCATTCATATCTGCATGCTTAAAAAAAACAGTTTAACACGTTAGTTAACCTTTATTTAATAGGAAACCAAATTATGTACATTGCATTGATATTGCTATTCCATTCTTCAGTTGTGATATTAGCCTGGGGACCTATTCTCAAGTTTTAAGATAATAAATACTAAAATGCATTATGAACAAAACAACGTTCATTAGACTTTTCCCTTTTGAAAGGGGTTTCTGTTGCAGTGGGAAAATCTTTGTTGCTACAATAATCAACTTATTGTTAGGAGTTGTCTGCAAGCCCAATGACGTGATGTGTCTATCCCATCCAGTGGTGACTCCCCTCTCCCCTAGATCCCCTGCCCCAATAAGGTTTCAACCCATGGGTTAAGAATCACTCGCTGGTTTAGCTATTTGTAAATACCCATAATTGTGTGTGTGTGTATATATATTACACATTTCCTGTGCCCTTGTAGTGCATATTGATAACAGGGTCTAGTAGACTGGGTACCTTCTGAGCACTTTAACCAAAGCTTCATAGATTAATACCTAATATTATTAACCACTTGATGGCCCAGAAGGGCGACACCAAGTTTTGTTTATTTAATTTCATTTTAATAGAGACAGCAAATTATCCCGCAGTAACTGATTAGGTCTCACTTATTACATACTTAGCATGTCTAACCTATTAATACTTTCTCTTTCTGTGCCACCTTGCATCTCATGGGTGGCACTGAAAGGGTTAATTTCAATAGTATAGATCTCTTAGCGAGACCTTATGCCCAGTCTTACTAGGGCAGTAAAAATACTTTTTATGAAGCCTCTGAAAATGCAACTCCATTTAGTGATAAGCAAATGGTATTACGGTTTCTGTGGTTTCCTATGAAATGCTCGCATTCCATCCGGAACCCCTTACTAGTTGGTGTTGCCTGATCATATCTGTGTAATAAAAAACAAAAAAAACTGTTATGTAAAATTGCCTAATTTTTTATTTATCCATGAGAATATAGATATAGTCGCTGTTACTGAGACATGGTATAATGAGAAAAATGACTAGGACATAGAAATACCAGTTTACTCTTTAGATAGAAAAGACAGGGAAGGCAAGAATGGACAACAGCTAAAATAGCCTGCCCTTCGGTGGGTCCCTACTCAGATTACAAGCTGGTTTTAGCTCATCTTGTGCCATTACAAAAAAAAAAAAAAAAACAGGCCATTTGCATATCAGGTCGATCCCACCCAAAAGTGAGGAACAGATGCAAATTGCAGGCCGTCTCTCTCTGCACGAGAGATACAGCAACCCCAGACAATTGTTTCAACCTTGTTAGGCATTGTCAGTGAGATATAACGGCTATCCCTCTAGGCACCATGAGCATGTTTTCAAATTAACACTCATTACGAACAATAAAATTTGAAACCGTCCTTCAAGAAGATTTGGATTTTAACTCCAAACCATAACCATAAATCCCCCCTAGCTTTAAATTCCTGTGAACCCACATGGAATTATTCTATGGGATACATTGCTGTGACCTGTGTAATGTACCACTCTGTAATGATAACGATAGTGTGCTGTGGTGGTTTGGGTGCATGGAGTGTTATTTTAACGACAGTGCTGCTTTAAGGTCTACTCTCATGCAGTATCTATTATTATGTAATGTTAATTCTTGCATAACTGTTTAAGCTTCCTCAAACAAAACAGAACACGAAACAGATACTTCTCCTATTGTGCCAAAGCTATTACTTGAACTTCATATTTATTCCTGATTAGACCCCAAAATGTTCTGGCAAGGACAAAAATTATAGTTGTACAAACCTGGCTCCTTTAAAAAAAAATAAATGGTTAGATAACACATACATGTTATAAGTTAAAAATGACCCCTGGTTTACTGCTGACCACAATTCATACTTATCGAGTCATCTTTAGGCAAAAAGAAGTTATTGAGTCATTTCCCTTTTTTGTTCTCAGTGGCTTAAAGAAGAACAGAAGTGATTCTGCAGTAAACATACAAAAATGACTGACTACTGACTAATTAGCATTTTTGTATTTGTACTTCTCACTTGTGTGTGTTTATATGTATGCAATGTATGTGTGTGTGTGTGTGTGTGTGTGTATATATATATATATATACACTGAACGATTTCTATATATCGTACAAGATTTAGTGCACTCGCTCATTAACTAAACAGCAATTCCAAGGCTCACAGAATATAATAGTTTTATTTAAAAACACCTCACCTAGGCAAAAAATAATGGGAGTTTAGTTACAGTATATAATCATACATTGCATAAGCCTGCCAAAACTTCAATGTACCCAATTTTTGGCAGGTCCTACTCTAGCAATCTAATGCCTGGCTTACCTACCTCAGGTACTTACCTTTTTCGGTCCACTATGTGAATAGGGAGCTACTGATGGGTTGCCCAATCCAAGGCTTCCTGATTAAAGCCTCAGACCCAAACACAAGTAACAGGGCATAGCCTATTAACAGTTTAACCCCAGTAAATAAGCCAGAGCCAATGGACCTAATTGAGGCACAGTCCATTTATTTCTTTTGGCCCAGATTGTGGGAGTTCTCTTCTCAGCTATACAGGTGATGTTTTAGAGACCCCTGCATTACAGGGCAATGCAGCATCTAAAGGTCAAGTACCTAACAATTCACCTGTCCAGTGACCAACGCATTCCATTGTCCCCCAATGTACGTACAGAACTCAAATGGAGGCCAGCCAGCCTGCCTGTGGAACATTGGGACTATCTGCAGGGGCTTGGTCAGATGCTATAGGTCTGTGCACATTAATTACCTGGAACTGATCGACGGCGCCATTGAAATCTGGAGGCTGGCCAAGGATCTTATGAATTGTTGCATCCTCTTACGGATGGACAACATCTTGGGGGTGAGGTTCATCAACCACCTAGGCAGTGCTGGGTCTAAAATGCTGTCAGATATTTTCAAAGACATATATAATTTCTGTTTTCAATGGAACATTACCCTAAAAGTAGAATATCTACTGGGTGCAAAGAATCTGTTGGCAGATGAGTTCTTTAAGCATTGGACGGATGCCTATGATTGGATGCTGGACAAGACAGTCTTTACTTCCCTGGTGGAGCACAGAGGTCCATTCACTTTGAATCTGTGTCATGGAGAAATCATGAAGCTCCAGTATTCATCATTTGGAGTGTGGTAGACAAATTAGACGCATTCCTTCTAAACTGGCGCTTGCGCGTTTCCTCCTTTTACAATGATAGCACAAGTGGTTCACTGGATTCAGGTTTAACGTTTTCCCATCATGTTGGTAACTCCCCTCTAGCAGAGTCAGTTTGATTTCAAAACCTGGAAGTATCATTCAAGGACACACTCTTAATACCAATCTCCCAACAGATTCAAAGAGGGATCCTCATCTATTGGTCCTACAAGAACATCCCCGTTCATGGCAGGGTCGCTTTCTGGGGTTCCTAGAGTGTTGAGGGTCTGTCGCAGATGGCTAAGACTTCTCTTGGGCTCTTGGGACCCGGGTACCCAACACAGCTACTTTTTGGCATGGAATGGCTGGAGTGGCTGATGTTTTGAGAGGGGTTTTGTTCCCTCCTGTCCATTCCATTTTAAATTTCTTATCCCAACTTTTTTCAGTAGGTAGGTGTTATAGTTCAGTGAATATCTTTTGTTCCGCCATCATGGCAGCCCTTGTTCTGGCGCAAGGGATTTCGATCAATATGGAACACCACATATGCTGTCTTAATCATGGTATTCGGTTGGCTCATCCGCCATATTTCAATGATAACCTGTAGTTGGCGAATTGGTCTATGGAGAATAATATATATATATATATATATATAAATATACAGGGCTGCCATCAGGGGGTGACAACTATGCTTTGGCAGTGCAGGGCCCCACAATTACTCTCTGTACATATATATAGCGATGATCGCTATATATATGTGCAGCCGCGGGCCCCCGGCTCCCTGTATTTGCAGAGGGGGCCCAGCGGACTGCAGGAGCACTTTACAGATCTTCCCTCTCTCTAACTCCCGCGAGACGTGCGGCCGTTAGAGCATCGCCATGGGTTACCATGGCAATGCTCCGCGCAGCGCGCACACCACGTCTCGCGGGAGTTAGTGAGAGGGAAGATCTGTAAAGTGCTTCTGCAGTCCGCTGGGTCTCACTCGTTGGGGAAGTTCCCATCAGGTCTTCGGGGCTGTCTGGGTCAGTGGGAATAGGGGGCACAAGCGTGCAGGGAGCCCCCTTAGGTAGTCAGCTTTCCGGTTTGGTCCACTGCGCGGTGGCCTCAAGTGGTGCGGTTTG